TCAGCACAACTATTCACTATTCCTCAGGCCCAGCCACACAGTGACTCAAAGGATATCAAATATACGTCCAATTTTTTCCTCTTAGTAAATAACTCAATCATCCATTCTCTCTTCCATACATTCACTTTTTCGCTTTCACTTTCACTTTCACTTTCACTCACTGACTTCCTTATTCTCACTAGGTCACTAGGCTACTGCTCCATTTACCCCAAAACGGGCCTCTATCCAAGGAGTGCATGTGCTAACCTCTTTCCTATCCTCTTCCTCACTCGTTTGTCACGATTACATTTTTCTGCCTTTCTACCTTCTTCTCCACTCCCTCCAACCAATCCATCCACTCATTCCATTCCTCCCACCCTCTCCACTCAATCATATCCCTCCACTCCCTCTACCTTTGCCATTCCATCTGCGCTTCACTCCCTCCACTCCATGCGGCTCCTACATTCCATTCACGCTCTCTATCTTATCCACTCCCTTCACTTAATACACACTCTCCACCTTTTCTAATTCTCCATACTCTTCACTCCCTCAATCTTCTCCACTCCATCCACACTCTCCACCGTATCTACTCAATCCACTCTCTCCAACCCTTCTATTCATCTACTTCATCCCACTTCCCATACCACCTCCATTCCATCCACTCTCTCCATCTTATCTACTCTGTTCACTCAATACACACTCTCCACCTCTTCTAATCATCTATTCCATACACTTTCTCCACTTTCTCCATTCAATTCACTCTCTCCACCCCTACTATTCCTCCACTCTCTCCATTCCATCAAATCTCTCCACTCAATCTACTTCATCCACTTTGTCTACTCCACCCTTTCGCTCTATTCCCTCCGATCGAGCCAGCTAGAAAAGGTCAACCTTTTGGTGACGGATCTACGCGCCAACCTGTCGGCCAGCGAATCACGTGTCACCGCGTTGGAGGATGAAGTAAACTGTGTCCAACGGGCTCGTCAAGAGGCCGAGGCCCGATTGTGTGCTGTACACGGCATACTCCGACGCTGTCTTGGCTACCGACAGACCCGACCGGCGCCGAGTCTCCAGCTCGTTTCGGCTTTCCATCCGCTGACAAGGAGTTCATCAGGTGGTCAGGGTGGGTGCAATCTGTCTCGTGGCATTCTGCTTCTGCAGACTCACATTGTCGTTCGGTCAACTCATCAGCCAGTGGGTCTGCGTCACTGTGGCCTAAGCATGTCAGGGCATGAGTCTTGAGCTCAGAGACCTGGTGGAGTTCAATTGATGATGGACAAGATTCCAGACTCTGGTCTGACTCGATGCTTCATTTTGAAGAAAAGCTGGATTTTGATTAGTCTCTTGGTTTACGATTGTCCATCTGTCCTGCATTTCGGGTAAAGGGTTTTGTAAAAATATTCCAAAGTCGATCCCATCAGAAGACGACGGCAGCTTTCTCTTGGTCAGTTGTCGATTGGATTTGGGGGAACATTTGTGTTGGACATGTTATTGGGGCATTTTTCTTTGATTCCGGTGAAAATATGGCAAACTGTTGTCTGTTACAAGATGGAAGTCGTCGGAGCGGAGTAGCAGTCTTAACACTATACTCAAGCTAACTGGTCATACATGCATGGATATATACAAATAGGTACACATGAAGTCGTATATGCGAAAAACAAAAAACGCATGCTCATGCTTCTGACTGACACATGACTTGAACTAACCAAACCACGCTTTATCTAATCAAAATGCATAGATTTGAGGTGACTTTTGCAGACTCGTTAGCATGAATATGCTGTTAAGAATGCTACCTTGCATCATGTAATAGACGAAGAGTCAACACGATTTCTCCAGAACCGTAGGAAATTTTCTCGATGACAGCGTCACACTAAAAGTCCCAATAAAGTCCCAGCCGATCGACAGGTGGTCAAGAGGAATCTGACCCCATCTTCTGATTGGAGCAGCGATTGGATATCTCTACCAAACACTTTCAATTGAAATGTAAGTAAGGCAATATATGCGAGGAAATGTTGGGTTTAGAGAAATCTCTTGTTTCATAATTGTTGAGCTTACTTTCATTTCAAGTGAAAGTGTTGAGTTTTCTTGACTGGTTTTTTTGAATTTTGTTGTGACC